CAGGCCTTGGTGTGAGCACGTACCTGATAGGCGCTGCCCTTCCAGAACTTCTTCATTTCCTTCCGTCTCCAGGCAACCACAGAGGCAGTAATGAGCGTGCAAGGTACTAAGTAGAGGAGAGCAGGCTGGCCCTTCTTCATCAGCATCAGGACAACAAAGGTGAGGACCATGCCAACGGCGTAGGCTGCAAGAATACCAGGTTCTGGTCACTTCTCCCTGCTATGCAAGGGATACTTTTCCTCCCCTGGGATCGAACTGACTTTCAAATATTTCTGAGGACATTTGCACAACACGACCTCTTAGCATAGTTTAATTATCTTAAGAAAAATACTGCGTAGAGCTTCTGGCAAGTTTGGAAACTGGTTACTGTTTCAACTGAAGCCTTGATCAGGTAAAGATAACCTAATGAAGTAGCTATTATCTGTCACTAAAGGTGTCCCACATTTTAGGTAACTAAATCTGTTCCTGTAAGTACTAAATAGGGGCTTCTCTGAAAAATTGTCCTCCTATGGATTCTATCCTCCCTAGCTTCTACAGCAGACATTGTGTGACCTCTTCCTAAGGACACAGGGACCCACACTGCAGGAGCCCAAAGGAAGGGCCTTCGGATCAGCGAGTCTTGTTGATGCTCACGCTGAAGCCGAGGCAGTGGGGAGGGGCCGAGCTGCCACTCAGCCCCCCTTCCACGGGACCCCTCACTCACCCCCACACTGGTGCCGGGCTCGCGTGAGGGAGCGCCTTTCGTAACACCGCAACTGAGGGTCTCGCACTGCTTCCTGGCTTTCTTTTTCATCTTCTCCCTCACTCAGCTATTCTGTCCTGCTGTGAGAGTATCCATTTCCAGGAACACCCTTCTCTAGCAGTAACACACTTCTCAGCGGCTAGACCGATTCCCCAGGGTGTGCGAAAGCCTGTGGAGAACAAGGCCCCGGCTCTGGGGCTGGGCATCTGCCAAAGCACCAAGACTGGGGTGTGGCTCTGAGAGCCGCGCCTGCTCTGTGCAGAAGCAGTGGGGCTTGGGGGCTTACTTCCTGTAATGCACTCTTTGCTCAATAATAGAAGCAGAGGTACAAGAGACTACTTCTACTGTCCTAATTGAGATGTGACTGTGCCACAAATTAATTTATATAAATATACAACTATCCATATGCTATTGTAAAAAAATTAGTAATACACAATTTACTGGCTATTTATGAGCTAGATATTTTAATAAATATTATCTATAGAACCTAATCTTTTTTCCCCACCATCTAATTTTCTTTCTAAGCCTCTAAAAGCTTATAATATAAATTATGATGTATAATTAATGGTCTTTTTCTGATGGAAAATAAGCAGAACACAGGACTCAGGCCATGGCTCAGCAGCACAGTGCCTGCCTGGCAAGTGCAGGCACTGAGTTCGGTTCCCAGTTACCACTGCCCCATCAGAAAAAGAAAACAATCCGGCACTCAGTATTTTCAGACTTCTGTCTTTTCCTCCAGACAAAACAATACACATACACACAAAAAAAGAAGAAATAACTTTACCAATTATGGAAGAAATATAGTATATAGAAGAAGAACCGGTTTGAACATCAAATCTTCTACAGTATGCAATTAATAGACCTAGAAAAACAAAACAAAACAAAATTCCACGTTATTGTCTTAAAAAACAACTGCAATATGAATCCCATTATAAACAGTATGCGTTACGCTGTATTTAACTTTTCTTTTTGCAGAAGATCATTAAATTACCTCAAATTCTATACAAAGACATACATTGATTTTAAAAATTTAATGTCATATTTTAAACATCACCTGTAAGTCATTAAACAGCGTTTAAAAATGTGATTTTTATTAACTGCTCAATATTTCATGTCATGGAGAAAAATTTTTCAGTGATTCTTTTGGAAATGTACTAAGGAGACAAGTGGGACTACATGAATCTAAAAAGCTACCCAGCCAAGGAAACAGCAGAGAGAAGAGGTGACGCACGGAATGTGCAGGTCATGCAGGATAAGGAGCAAGAGCCAAAATACACAGGAACCTCACGCGATAGTAGGAAGCCACGTGCCAAGTGTAAAAAGGAGGCACATGATTTGAACAGGTATTCTTCAAAAAAAGACACACAAATGGCCCACAGGTACATTAAACCTGTTGAACATCTCTGATCACATGGAAATCCAAATTAAAACCACATGTTACCTCACACTTGTGAGAATGGCTAGTATCAAAAAGATGAGTGGATACAGGGCTGTGCCTCAGGGTGCTTGCCCAGCATGGAAGGTCCTAAGTTCAATTCTCATTTGTGGCCCCTGCCCCCAAAGAAGAGGAAAGCTAAGTGTGAGAGAGGAGGTGGAGAAAGGGGCCCGTGCACACAGCTTCCGGGAATGTGAACTCATACAGCTGCTATGAGAAAGGGGGAAGCCCCTCAAAAAGAACTGCAAAAAGAACTGTCAGATGGCCAGGTAACTCCCCTTCCAGGGGTGCAGGTACACATCCCCGGGAAAGGGAACCCGTGTGTGCTAGACACCGCATCCTCCTGCAGTACGACTCACCGCAGCCAAGATGTGGAACCACCCTGCATATCCAAGGAAGCGAACGTAGCAAGTTACAAGACAGCATTATCCATCTTCTTACAAAGGATGACGTTCTAGGACTCGTAATAACATGAATAAGCCTGGAGGGCGTTGTGCTAAGCAAAAGAGCCCCAGCACAGAAAAACCAATCCTGTGTGACCTCAGTTATAAGTGGAATTGCAAACAGTTGAACTCACAGAAGTAGACAGTAAATTGGCTGGGTAGGAGGGCTTGGAAAAGCACTGCTCAAAGGATCTCCAATTTTATTTATTTATTTAGGCAGAACCGGGGATTGAACTCAGGCCCTTGCACTTGCCAGGGAAGCGCTTATTCTACTGAGCCTTCTCCCCAGCCCTCAAATTTCATTTAGGAAATCCTGTTAATTGTTTTTTGTTTTTTGTTTTTTTGTTTTTTTTGGTGGAACTGGGGATTGAACTCAGGCCCTTGCGCTTGCCAGGGAAGCGCTTATTCCACTGAGCCATCTCCCCAGCTCCTCAAATTTAATTTAGATAGGAGGAGCAAGTTGAAGAAATCTACCATATAACATCATAGCAATGTATGCTCGTGTGCATGTGTGTGAATGTGTACAGCGCTGGAGATTGAAGCCAGAGCCTTGCCACTGAGCTATGTGCCCTGCCTTCTTTTTTTTACTGGATGTCAAATTCACAACCTCAGGCTTGCCAGGCAGGTGCCGTGCTGTTGAGCTATATCCCTGGCCCCGCTTTTTCTACTCTGAGACAGGGTCTTGCTAAGTCACTGTGAAGCTCAAGATGGACTTGATTTAAAATTCTCCAGCCAGGTCAGGGATATAGCACAGCATCCACCTAGCAAGCGTGAGGTCGTGAGTTCGATTTCTAGTACCTTAATAAATAATAATAAAATCCTCCTGCCTCAGTCTCTCAGAATGCTGAGATTGTAGGCATGCACCACCCTGTTTGTCCTATTCTTAAACAATGCCATAGGGGCTGGGGAGCTAGCTTGGTGGTACAGCACCAGGCGTGAGGGCATGACTTTGAGTCCCAGTACCCAAAAAAAGGCATAAGCAGTGTTGTCATCACAAAAAATAATTATGTGAGTTAACGTATATTTTAATTACTTGATTTATTCATGCTACAATATATACATATCTCTAAATGAGTTGCACACCATAAATATATACTTTTTGTCAATTTAAATAAATTTATCAGTGTACTTAAAAAACGTGTATTAAAAAAAAGACATATATTGAAAGCCATCAAGGGAAGCAATTTTAAATTGTTAATCCAAAAAGTCCTCCCAGCAGCAGAAAGGGATTTGTAGTTTTATTTATTTATTCATTTTCTGTATTTTAGGAAAGGGTCTACAGGGAATTCAGGTCTCGCTACTAGATCGGACTCCTAGCGATTCGCTTGTTCACAGCCTCCCAAGTGCTAGGATTACAGGTGTGCACCACCACTCCCAGTCTCAGCAAGCCCCAGGGGCGGCGGCAGGGCAGGCCCAGGGATTGAACCCCCAGCCCCTGCGCCTGCTTGCAGGCCCTTTAATCCGCTGAGCTATTTGGCTGGCCCTCTGTAGTTTTAATACAGAGTTTGAAAAGCAATAAAGAGCCCTTATTTGTGAACACACAAGCACTGTATGCAGAAATAACTCTTAATACCTATGTTTTATAAGAAATTCTTGTTTCTCTCTCTAGAAAAAAACCTGATTGCATTTATTAAATATTTTATAAAACAGTAATGGCATTTAACCACATAAGATCAAAATAATTGACTACTGGTTGTCTGAATTAACTAAGTTTGGTCTCTATTCTTTTTTGTTCATTTTGTGAGCAATCACATTTTCACGTGTTAGAAAATGGTGCACCCCCTAATTAGAATGTAACTCATAACCTTAAGTCACGTATTGTCAGCTCTGGCCTTCGGGGACATATTTCTGTTTGAGACCTCTGGCATTTACTTTAAAAATAGAATACTTCTGTGTGACTTATGTTTGTTCCACGCCAAGGGCTGTCTGGATCTTTCGCAGCTCTCGTGTGGAAACGTAAGGAGAGGCGCGCGTTCAGAGCCGCCGCGGCTGCGGGATCTGCAGGTGCGTGGCGCGCGCTCGGGTCACCGGTCACCGGTCACCGCAGCAGCAGCAGCAGCAGCAGCAGCAGCAGCAGGGACGCGAGCTGGGCCCCTCCCAGGGCTGCATGGCGGCCTCCCTCTCACCCCTCCTCACTGTAAGCAGAAGGCCCTTCGCAGAGAGGCGCGCTCCTCCTCCACGCAAAGGCAGTCCGTCCACAGCACAGGGAAGAAATCAAGGCAAGAGGCCGCACTCAGCCGGCAGGAAAGGACTAGGAATGGCTCGGGAGCGGCCGCCGGCCCTACGGACGGGCTGGGCGGAACCGTGCCTAGCATCCCCGAACTGCTTCCTAACACACAACTCATAAACTGCACGTAACAGAGGCTGTACGCGTGGCAGTGTTGTTTCCAACCTTTAAAAAGGGTCACAGAGTAGCGGACTGGGAAGGACGGGTAAGCTGACCCCAGCGGCCTTCCTGCACACACTTTTGAGCACGGGTGCTTTACTTTGCAGGTGCCATGTGGGCGTTTCTTCTACCTCTGAAAACGCTCCTTTGCTTCGTGCGCCGCTGACCCCAGCCTAGTAACCAGAAATACTCAGCAGGGAGCCGGCGCCTTCCCACGGCTGGCTGCGGTGCGGTGGGCCTCGGTCACTCACCTGGTACAATGATGTCTCCGAAGCCCAAGATGGAGACAGGCGTGAAGCACACGCTCAGCACTGAGAAATAGATCAGCTTTGGCACCCGGATGACGACTGGCAACTGCGAGGGAAAGAAGACAGAAAGACAGAGGCCACCCATAAGCCTCTTCCCAGTCTGGTTTAGAAAGGGAAGGACGAACAACACAATCCTTGTTTTAGCATTAGGTAAACAGACAGTTAAAACAAAAACAAAAACAAAAACCCTTGAAAACAGAAGATATAAATCAGGTCACATGTCTGTGCACATACAAACACACATCCATTATATATATGTGCTCCACATGCACAAAAAGCTTGGAAGAAACCAATATGTAGCCGTGGGGGAAAAGAAACCCAGCCCGTGAAGGTGTGACACTCTAACTCCGCTGTCCCCATGTCTAACCTTGTCTTTTCTTTTTTAGGTTTACCAAGAATAGGACTCTTGAAACAGAATTTTTTGGCAACCTGGGTTTCCCCACAGAAGAATCTTGTCTCAGAGGGTGTGATTAGAGTCCCGTGAACACTTCTGAAACACAATCCTTACTTTCTCATGGGGAGCTGAGGGCTGAGCAGCGCCTTCCACAAAGTTTCCATCATTCTAGGATGAAACCCAAGTCAATAGGTGCTTAGTGATTCACAGCGACTAAGAAAAGGGCTATATTTCGTGAGAAAGAAGTTGTATAATACCTTCACGTGCACTATAGTGACACCGAAGGCAACACAACTGGCGGGACACACACGTGCTGGGCGCCATGCCGCCCAGGGCCATTCCTACCTTTTCAGTGTTCCCAAATGGTCCAGCTGCAAGTTCAACCATGATACTCTCCCCATTCTGAAAATGAAAAAGAAGGCGACGCTATCCAATCACACCAGGAGAACGATGTGCCACTGTGCAAGGCTTTTGTTCCCTGGCACACGGCCACTGGGCACTGAAGGAAAACAGGCTGTGGATGAGTGGCTGTTTGCCTAAAACGGTCTCTGTAGACAGGAAGAACTGAAGTTATCTGAAACAAAATTTACTGAGCACACCGTTCGTTGAATGCTATTAGAACTCAACAGTTACCTAAAACTGATGGATAAGCCACACAGATTATTCGATGGCACCTTTAAACTCTAGATTGTACTTTTAAAATATGTAATATGTGATACGGTTTAAGTACTTTTTTTATAATTTCGACTGGCAGCAATCCTCCTGCCTCAGCCTCCCTAGTGCTGGGAGTACAGGCCGGTGCCACCATGCCTGGCCTAAGAATGTAACATACTACAATTCTTAGTCATTTTCAGCAACAGGTGAGAAGACATATTAAATTCTCCTAAATGCAGCTTTGTAACAAGTTTGGGTCACTTTATTTGAATAATATGCATTTGACCTTCTGGCTGTTCACAATAATAAAGCATGAAGCCAAGTGGGAACCCAGCCCTAGCTCTCCGGCCTCACGGCCCCTGGCTGGTTTCAGCCCTGCCCACTTTCCATGTTCCAGTGAAAACATTTCCCTCTCCCTGACTCTCGGCAGGCTTTTTGTGCCACGTGAGGAATTCAGTAAAGTGTCTCCGGCAGCGCAGTCTGGTGGAGATGCACTCGGAGGCAGCAGTCTTTGCGCTTCACAGTGTGGTAAAGACATTCTCAAAAGCAGGTGGAAGAAGGGACACTAGTGCTGACTTCAGGACAATGTGATTGGCTAACTGCAGTGTTCTCTGTGGGCTGCACAGCAGGGATTGCTGGAGTGTTGTCAGAAGGACTTCGCTAATACCTGAGCCAAAGGGAAGGAAAATCGCAAGCTGCAGAAATCTTTGCGTGTTCACTTGGGTTAGGAGAGGAGTAAGTCACAGAGGTCTGGCAAGACGAGCTACTACTAGACTCAGCTCTTGATAGGAGAGTCCCAGGCTGCGTTCCGGCATCCAGATAGAGCTCACTCGGGCTCATTCTCCAGCTGTTATTACCGTCAGATGGCTGAAGACTGTTACGGAGTCCCCATGTAGTCACAGCTGTCTGCACAGTGACCACTGAGCCTGACACACAGACACGTGGGTGAGCCACGCACCGTGATGCAGGTGTACAGCAGCCCACAGGCGATCCGTCAGATTGACTGTCAAAGCCATACAGATTGGCAACTAAATAGCTGATTTTCATTTTTAATTACTACTAAAGTGAGGCCTCATAAAAACAAACAAATAAACACTGAACTCCAAGAGCGCTTCGGCTTTTTCCACTGAATCAGACTGCTACAAATAACTGTCCTGGGCAGTAGGAATTAAGATGGGAAAGAAGACGCAAGCTCTGTTTCTTACCTAGCGGCCACATAAGCTCCCCAACAGTTTGTTCCAGGCCCTACAACAATTATCAAAAGTCCAGGGTTTAAAAAAAAAATTTTTGGAGGGGGCACTGGGGATTAAACTCAGGGTCGTCACACTCAGCTCTGTCCCAAGCCTCTATTTTATGGTTTCAACAAGTTCCTACAGTGCCCAGGCTAACTTCAAGCTTTAATCCACCTGCTTCGGCCTCCTGATTGCTGGGATGATAGCACGTGCCACCATGCCCAGAAAAAGCTCAGATTTATACAGCAATTTCATAGATGGTAGGGTCTACAGAATAAGGAGAACCAGTGGGTGTGGGCGCACAGCTCAGCAGTAGGGCCCTTGCTTGGCATGGACGGGGGCCTAGGTTCAATCCCCATCACTGCAAAAATAACATAAAATAAAATAGTAAATTTCAAACGCTAAATATGTGTTAGCAACAAAGGAAAAATGATAAAATCTTAGAAAGAAAAATTCAAAATAAAATGGAGGAAAGAAAGTGCAGAGGGGCAAGGGCTGAGGTAGGCCACCTAGACGAACGGTGGAGGACAACTGAGCGAGGGGCTGCCAGCCCAGGAAAGAGCCTGGCTCTGAGCAGGGACAGTCTTTCCTGAGCCCCACCCTGGCCTGCATGCACCGCCTGGCACACAGGAGTCTGTAACAGCTCTCAGTGGCTTCTGCCAGTCACAGCCAGAAGATTGCTACTGACGCAAGAGGATGGCCAGCCAGGGATCCACTGCCTGCGGGCCAGGAGCTCGCCTCGGCTGGCGAGGGCAGGAGCTGTAGCCTGGACCTTCAAAAGCGCAGCAGGCCACCCTGCCCTGGTCTCCAGCAGGAGCTGGAAAGAGAGGGTGGCGACAACATATGTCTCATTTCTTCCTTCTACTTTATAAATTCTCGTTTTTTACATCATTCTCATTTTTACATCATTCAGGAGACTTTTTTAATCTAATATAATGGATTAAAGGCTGTAAAATACTCTCTAGCAAAAGGCTAGTTGAATTTTCAATAACAATTCTCTTAAAAGAATTTAGAGCTCGGTGGCAAACATCTGTAAAAATAATCTATGAGCAGGTTTAAGATGCTCATCTTTTAGCAAGTTTTCTGGTGGCTTAGAAAGGGCGGTCATACCTTTGTGATGAATGGTGTTATGAAAACAAAAAACACATCATAAAGTAGGAGAAGGCCCAGAAGTATCACACAGGACTGTGGAAGAAAGAAACAAATTCAAAGGTCAAATTTCCCATGTCTAAGTTTAGAGATGAAATATTTTGCAAGTGCAAATTAACACATGAACGTGACCTTGAATACTATTTTAAGGGGTTTTCTTTGGTTATTATGTACACTTTTGTTCTATAAACCACATTAAAACCTTTACCTCTACTGTCCTATTTCCTTTATTTAAAAAATCACCAGTCAAAGAAATGCTCTTGCTGGGTGTGGTGGGGCACACCTGTAATCCCAGCACTTGGGAGGCTGAGGCAAGAAGATTACTGTGAGTTCAAAACCAGCCTGGACTACAATGTGAGCTCAAGGCCAGCCTGAACTGCATAGCAAGACTCTGTTTCAAAAGAATAAAAGAAAGAAATATTCTTCCCTGAAATTTAGTCTCAAAAGGACTTTATAAACTGGGAGTATTAAATGAGTTAAGACTAAGGATTTTTAGCCAGCAGATCTGAGGCCGCTCTTGCCTGAGGTTGGAGGGACTGCAGGCAGTCCCTCTAGAGCAGTAGAAAACATAGGAACGCTCTCAACTCCAGTGCCATGGCCATCATGAAGTTCTACGTTTGTGCAATTGCAACACGCAGTGGATTTGAAATAGATGCATTTTACTCTAAGCAAATTACACCTTATTAAAGGTTATTTTGAAACCAAAAAAGTTACTTCAGCTAGCAAAGTACTATACTTTACCTTAAAGTTGGGTAACTTCAGTGTTTTAATTAAATTCAGACAGAAAGCAATCCCCAAGATATCCTGTAAAATCCAAGCCCACCTAAAATCAAAAAGAGAATACTCTATTGTTTTACCCAGGAGGTTTGGATTTTAAAAAGGAATTAGAATGCTAAAGTAATGTCATGCAATCGCCATGATCTGACTGCTTAATTATGAGGCAAGTATGATAACAAAAGCCATTCATAGTCTCCCCATTAAATAATTTACCGTCCTAGTAAAATAATGAATACAATACTAAGAAAAAGCTGAAAGGTTACTGCAGACAACTGTACATCAGGTACAAGAGCATTCATTCATCTTTGAACTTACACATCTCTTTCTAGAAAGGCAGCTCTTAATGAAAGACACGTGTTCAGCTGTATCTAGCCAGCTGAGCATAACAAGTGACAGCCATGTGACCTACTCTACCAGAAAGTGACACACATCGGTGTCAACTGATCATATGAGGAAGCTGCCTGAAGTGCTATGAACTCTGCTCACCAAACTGCAGGTCATTAATAATTGTATCAGTTAGCCATTAAATACACGTGTGTGTGTGTGTGTGTGTGTGTGTGTGTGTGTGTGTATTCTAGTTGTGTTTCCGGCATGGGACAGATATCTTCTATATCTTCTGTAACTTGTCAGATATCTTATCCTTTCAACATGAAAGGTAGTGTAACCTTTATGTTCTTTTATGCTTTGCTTTTTATTTAAAAATATATCCTGGCAAGGGTATCTGGAAGTAATTTGCACCAAGCTGGCAGCTGCAGTAACTACAGTTTCAACTTCAACTCATGATGGTTCCCTTGGCCAAAACCACATTAGGTTGTTTTCCAGTTCAAAGCATCCAACAAATGGCCATTAGGCAGAGCCACCAGAAATGTACACCTGATTTCCATGACAATATGGCAATGCTGTATTAGTTGGTGGAGCCGCATTCTGTACTGCTGCACGGACCTACACAGCAACACAAACTGGAACAGAACGGAACCTGTCCCCTGTTGGCAGTCACCCGCAAGGAATGGAGAGATCAGGAATCATGCCAGCTGATAGGACACAGCTAAATTATTTCTAAATGAAATGATAACTGATGCCAAGTAAAAGCACTGTGTATCCATTAAAATATGGCCTATTAAGAAATGAAGCACAATTGAAACCTTATATATATCCTACAAATATTTTCTTTTTCCTTCTTTCTTTCTTTTTTCCCCTTGTGGATGGCTCGGCCTGCCCTGGGGGTGGGGCTGGCAGGACATGAGGTGCTCAGGAGCGAACCACAGTCCCTGCACTTTGCCTAAGCTTGCCTAAGCAAGTGCTTTAGACCATTCGGCTATCTCGCCGGCCCTCCTGCAAATATTTTTACTGCATAGTGATTCATAGAGGTCTTCCTCATTCTTATGAGTTAGACTATACTCCATTATGTGTTTATATCATAGTTAACAACAGTTTTGAAATCTAGGTGTTTAAATCAACTCTTATTTACTTTTTTTTTTTTTTAAACTCTTATTTCCTTCACTATATGAATTCAAATCATTAAGACAAGGTTTGCTCATTTATAAAGTAGCTTGTTTCAAGATGTATTCTGGGAGAAAAGCAAAAAAATTCTACAATAATCATAATAAATAAATATTGGGGCATTGATAAAGTAATCCACCCTTCAACCTACAATGGGATGTACCAAGTGTTCATACCTATCCTCATTTCGAAAAACAGCCCAAACAACAGCTACCGCAATGCACAGTGCAGAGAGAAAAACAAGTCTCACTTCAACACTTTTGCCACGACACGCAATCCTAAAAAAGATGAAATAGTTAAATGTATGCTAGAGATAAAATACAAAGCTTACTTGATGTAAAAAATGCCGAACATTAGCTGGTCTTAAGAAGTGGTTTAATATCAACTAAGAAGTCTTAAAAAAAAAAAAAAAAAAAGTCTTGGTTTTAGGTAAAACATGTGAGACATAAAAATCAATCTGACAAAAACTTCTGTGCTGATGGAAGTGTGTTGTCCGATACAGCAGCCATCAGCCTCAACAGAACAGCCATCAAATGCTTGAAACATGACTCTGACCAAGAAACTAAATTTTAAATGTTCAAAAATTGTATTCAGGGGCTAAGGAGATGGCTCAGAGGAATAAGCGCTTGCCTGGCAAGCGCAGAGGAGACCTGAGTTCAATCCCCGGTTCTGCCAAAAAAAAAAAATTGTATTTAACTTTCATTATTTAAACAGCCTCAAGTCCAGTGTACACTGGACTACACACTTGCTCTTCAACATACTGCACTACGTTCAAATGCCAGCACTGTGCCCCTCTCCAGAAGAGATACATACGCGCATCGTCCACACGGGATGTTCTGAATCAGCGCGGCCAGACAGTTGTAGAGGCTCATGGCCGAAGCTAGGCAGAAAATCCCTATCATAACATAGACTAGGGAAGAAAAAGACATGAACTCAGATAACAGAATGAGATGAGAGAACAAAACAGTCATATGAGCACAATTAGATCTTTGGCTTTCTATAGTAGATCATAATACTTTCAATATAGTCACTACATTACTACCTGAGTTACTTATCTAAAAGATATTTAGCTTTAAGAATGTGAGTTCTGGGCCTTGGAGATGGCTCAGTGGAATAAGCGCTTCCCTGGCAAGCACAAGGGCCTGAGTTCAATCCCTGGTTCCACAAAAAAAAAGAAAGTGAGTTTTAGTGCTGGCCAGAGAGCTCAGCTGACTGAAGAGCCTGCCTGGGCAGAGTGCAGGGCCAGGGTTGGATCCCCTGCATGCTGCGCCAGTCCCACCCCAGGGGTACGCTGAGACAGTGATTGAGACTGGGCGTGGTGGCACATGCCTGTAATCCCCGCACTTGAGAGGCTGAAAACAGGAGGATCACTACGAGTCCGATCTACATAGTGAGATACTGTAGACTCTATATTAAATACATACAAAAAAAAGAGCGTGAATTTTATGTGTCGCATTACTTCCACGACAGATCGACAGGGCTCCTTAAGGGGCTGAAGGTGGCGCTACATTTTCTATCACTCAATAATTCCAAGTGGTGTGTCTGTTAATGATTTTCAGAAATGCATTATCGATATTTACCAGTTTAATTTAAAACTAAGGAATAAAAGGTTTAATAAATCATTAAACATTTTTAAAAATCCAGCTGCCGGGTATAGTGTCACACACCTGTAATTCCAGCACACAGGAGGACGAGGCAGGAGGATCACTGTGAGTTCAAGACCAGCTTGAACTACAGGGCAACCCTGTCTCAAAACACCAAAAAACAAGGGCTGGCAAGATAGCTCAGCGGATCAAGCGCCTGCTCAGGTAGGGAAGCACAGGGTTCCACATGCCACACCGGCCCCGCCCCGAGACTGGGCCAGCCACCAAGACTGGGCCTGGTGGCGCACACCTGTAACCCCAGCACTGGGGAGGCTGCAAACAGGAGGCTCAGGCCAAGTCTCGGCTGCATAAGGAGACCCTGTACCAAATACAATAATTAAAAAAAAATCTTTCCTGAGCACTCTCAAGTTTCACAACAGAAATAAAAACTATACCTAAAGTTTTAAAATCCTATTTGCAGGAAACTAAAGTCTATTTGAGGAAAAGAAATTAATCTAGACAAACGCAGGCACAGTCACTTTCTGATCAGTGGTGTAGATAAAGTACTTTTCTAATCCTGTGATTCCTGGGTCTAGGCATCCGGGGTGGGTCGCTGTGAGGACTAGGTGGGGGTGCACAGCACACACTCAGCTGTCTGCTCATGTGGCTTTTCCGCTGTTGGCCACGTGTCACCATGCAAGCAGGAAGTTGGCCACAGGTGGCCAGGATGGTACCGGTGAGTCATCTACCAAAGCTGCCCAACCCAGGTTTTAATGTCCTGGTGGCAACCGTGCTTCTTGAGGCCCTAACAAGGTTTTCATGCCTCATTCAATGTCATACTATATCTTAGAAAATGACTGTGTAGGGGAAGAGCTTGCTTTGCACCAGTCTTCCTTGGGTACCTGCCCAACCATAAAGTGGCAAGGGAGCTTTGATGATTACTTTTTTTTGGAGGGGGTGGTTCTAGGAATTGGACTGTGGGCCTCGTGCTTGCCAGGAAGGTGGCTGTGCCACTGAGCTACATCCCCACCCCTGATTAGTTCATCAATTAAGGAAGGGCACTAATCCCAGTCAGAAGGAACCATTCTGAGGAAACAAAATCTTGCACCACCTGGCCCAGAGTGGCTAATGGGCGCCACAGGAGCGCTGCAGCCCCTAGGCTTTTCACAGGGCTTTTGCTAAGTCCCGAGGCACACTCCGCCTTTCCCTGGTCTCCCTCTGGTTGGTGCCAGGGGCAGCAAGTCTCCACCCTTTCGGGACATTCATAATCCTGTCCAGAGGTGGTCAAGCCACCGCAGCTCCTGCCTCTGACGTCTACAGGGAAAGAATTTGTTCCTGTCTAGACAGCAGGCAGGTACCTGTGTGTTCTCATAGACTGTACGATGCTAACTGCTTGCACAAGGAGAACAAACGCAAGCAATACAACATCCTGATCTGCAAACTGGTGAGAGGATAAAATATACTTGGAGGTTAAATAGAAACAATAAATCAGTACCTCGAATCACCTTTTATTTCGTCCAACTAAATATGGCCATTGGAAAGTGCTCAGTGTGCAGCTTTGAGACTGGGCGACCACTGTCTGTCAGCAGAGTGGGAACTTTGGAGACCAAAGACATTCTCGGAAGTCACCCATGAGTGAGTGTTCTTAGCTCAAAACAGCATAGTCTTAATCAGATTTTATTTTTAAATCTCAGAGTAGTAAACACTTAACACTGCCGGCAACTTAACCAAATTATTTGCTTAAATATTCCAGGTAGAATGAATACTTAGAAAGAGAAGATACATCAAGGTAAATGAAACATATGGACACTAAAAGTAGTAACATAAACTATGGCATCTTACCCAGCCATTTGTAGAAGAAATAGAGTAGGACCATCATAACGCAGCAGATGACCACAAAGATTACAACTGTGAGCGGGCTAAAGGTTAAATATTCTTCTTTCTTTTTCTTCATTTCTGTGTCTTCAGTGTCTGTCATTGCCTTCATGTTTTGCCTGCGTAAACACATGCAGGAACCTTACCAAATCTCCAACAAATACAGTTCTTTTTAAAAATCTACTTCCAGGCTGGACATGGTGGTGCATGCCTGTAATCCCAGCACTCAGGAGGTACCATTGTGAGTGTGAGGCCAGCCTGGGCCACATAGTGAGCTCAAGGCCAGCCAGAACTGCACAGCAAGACCCTGTCTCAAAAACAAAAGAAAAAAAAACATGGGGCCGGAGAGATAGCTCAGTAGAATAAGCGCTTACCTCCCAAGCGCAAGGGCCTGAGTTCAATCCCTGGTTCCAAGTCAGATGTGGTGGCGCACACACACCTATCATCACAGCATGCTGAGGCAGAAGGACTACAATTTTGAGCCCAGCCTGTGCAACTTACTAATTTTATTTTATTTTGGTTTTTTGAGATAGGGTCTCACTATACAGCCCAGGCTAGCCCGGAACTCACGGCAATTCTCATGCCTCAGCCTCCCATAACAGGCGGGTACCACTACACCCTGTCTCAAAAACAAATAACCCCCCAAATCTCTCCAACACCAATTTAAATGTGTTTATTACAAATGTACTATATAGCTGGGTGTAGCGGTGCTTGCCTGTAGTCCCAGCACTCAGGAGGCCGAGGTAGGAGGAAAACAAAAATAAAGTTTATTTTTCTCAACTGTTTCTCTGCTGGGACACCACTAGTCTCCCTGGGGACACTAATGGGGTGGCTGGCACACGAGGCCAGGGAACAGGGAAGGGCAGGGAGGAAGCTGTATGGAGACACACACAAGGGTATCCCCGGCAACTCTAGCACTGGGTGATGGCTCACTAGCAGACACTTCTTTTCTTTTTTAATTTGGTCTTGTTGGCACTATATGCTGAGGTTAAAATTTTACAATGTCATTATACGACTATGGTGATTATAAAACAACGCTTGGGATCATTTAGCACGAAAACACAGAAGCTTAATTACACTTACAACTCAATGTGTCCACTCCAATAGCCTCCTAATGCCACTGTGAATACAGCAATTACAAAAAGAACTGCCATGGTGTAGTCAAAGTTGGGCCCAGACGGAGAATACGTGGCCACAGAGTACATTGCCACGGTGATGTTACTTCCCAGCGTCTGCAGGGAGAGGGACGGCGAGACACGGGGTGAGTGTTCCCTACCGCGGAGCTTGGCTACTGTAGCTGACGATGCACTCCAGGCAGGACCCGGCCCTTGGGCAGTCAAGAAGACCTGGCTACCCAATAAATTCTCCAATCAAAGCGCATGCTTTGGGTTAGAACGTCTCAAGAGCTCAGTTACCACACAATCACATTTGGTTCAGGGGCTTAAAATTAAGATAGGAGACATGTCACAAGAGATTGTCGCGGAACTTAAAAGAAATAAACGCAAGCCGGGGAGATGGCTCAGTGCAATAAGCGCTTCCCCGGCAAGCACAAGGGCCTGAGTTCAATCCCCGGTTCCATCAAAAAAAAAAAAGAAAAGGTCAATACAGTATTCCGTGAGGAATAAGAGTGAAGAATGAGAAGATCTAGGGCTGCTGGAGAAGCCACATAATAATCCCAGGCTTGAACTGGCAAATAAGTAAGAATTTGAGTACATGAGCTACAAAAAAAAGAAAAAAACACGCCATGGAAGTCCAGAGTGTCACTGTGCCAAGTAAGAGCAACTTCCCGAGGAATCTGAGCTCCTGCTGGCAAGCAGAACGTGCGCAGCAATCAAGATGACGCATGAAAGGGAAAGGAAGCGCTCTAGAAACTAACACGCAAAAGCCACTTTACCTGTTCCATGTCTTTAAAGTCTTTGTGATTTATAAATGCAATTAGTATTTTCATATCAGGAAATTCAGATATGTTTCCAGAGGGAGAAAACTAAGAGAAAAATAAGCATATTGTGAAACCTTAGTATATATTACATATATGTCTACAGAATAAAACAAATAAACTATTCCACTACATATAAACATTGTACTTTTCTTTAAGTTATATAACAAAGTTCCAGGTTATTTTCCTTCAGAGTACATAAGTTCTTAGGTGGAATCCTTTTGACACGAGCTTGAAAGGACACACTCTGTGTGGCATCATACGCTTGTGCGGACGTAAGCCTTGTGCATGCGTGAGCGTTGCTGATACAAACCTACCATACACAGACACGCATATGTTTGCTCCTAACAATAGGGCAAAACAATAAAATTTTCCAATTAAAACTCTTCCAAAATGCCTGCTGGCAAGGAATCCCACCACCAGCTTGTTCCAAACCACGCCCCTCAACCACACACAAAGAAATTAATTCAGTTCCTGAGAAATCTGATGTCCTGAGTTGGAAGGAGCGTCACAGTCTGTCACTTACGGCGACACTGCCATTGGCCACCAGTAAGGCTTCCGCGCCTCCCGCCTGCGCCACCCTGGCTTTCTGCAGGAAAGGGCAGGGTTCCCACTGCACGACAACTGCTTTGTTCTTTATGCCACCAGGAGGAATTTCAGAAATGTTGCACAGCGGTGTGGCGGTGAGGTTCATCAAAGCTAAGGAAGTCTGGACACAAGAGACGTCTTTAAGGTAACAAGGATCACACTGCACCCGAACGCACGCGGTAACAAGGCACCCATAACTGGCTTAATAACGATGTATTTGCGGGACAGGGGATCTAGCTCAGCAGCGGAGCATGTGCCCACCATACAAGAGGCCCTGCAACTAAAATTAAAATTAATTTTCTTTTACATTAGAACTCTATGATGGTGAGTGTGGTGGTGCATGACTGTAATCCCCACTACTCAGGTGCCCGAGGCAGGAGGATTGCAGGCTTGAGGCCAGGCTGGGCAATTCAGGGACACGCTACTGCAAATGAATTTAAAGGGGGGTGGGGGGGCGGGAAAACAGCTCAGTAGAATAAGTGCTTCCCCGGCAAGTGCAAGGGCCTGAGTTCAATCCCCAATTCCGCAAAAGAAAAAGGGGGAGTGGGCTGGGCTGAGATTGTGGCTCAGTAGTAGGGCTCTTGCCTGGTATATGCAAGCCCCTGGGTTGACTCCAGTATACAAGCACATACACAAAGAGAGGAGAAAGAAGAAAAAGGAGTATTTTTACGACAAACAACCAAGCTTAGAGGTATTTAAAAATTCTCTAACGTGCCAGGCGTGGTGGCACACACCTATAATCCCAGCACTCAGTGGGCTGAGGCAGAAGATTGCTGTGAGTTGGAGGCTGGCCTATACTACACAGCAAATGTAAGACCAGCTTGAATCTACCTAGTGAGATCTACCTAGTGGGATCTGGTCTCAAAAGTAAGTAATTGGGGCTAGGGAGATAGCTCAGTAGAATAAGTGCTTGCCTGGCAAGCGCAAGGGCCTGAGTTCAATCCCCGGTTCCACCAAAAAAAAAAAAAAAAAAAGTAAATAATTAATAAATATTCCCTAACACACTTTTCTCATAGATAAGCACTTGAGCAAAAATTAGCAACATAATAACTATTAGCCACTGTATATCAAAATTAGTTCCCATGCTAAAATGTTATTATTGCTCATTCTCATCTTCCTGATATTTCAGTTTTTATGAATAAATGCTAGATGGATTTACTTACTGCATTTTCGAGGGTACTCGGGAGCTCCTTCCATCGTGGGTTGTACAGCATGCAGTAGTCCTTAGAGGGCGAGGATGGGCCACTTCCGGATGCGTGCAGGATGGCTTCCTGGGCAGCTGCCTAGGATACAAACAATAACTTTCAAAATGACAATAATGTGGCTTTTAATAAAGCTATTTATATACACAGGTTTGATCTCAGCTTGCAAAGAGGGTGAGTCTTCTAATGAATTGATTTCTTCTTGTTTTGGGAAATCAAAAGAGGGACTGGAAAAACGCAAACTCTACCCATGACCCAGCATGCACTTGGGGAGGAAGATGGGTCACTTTCCTACAGAACCGACAACAGCCTCTAGTGATATGGGCCAAGCCCCAAGGGGCTTCTGCAACCACTTAGTAACATCATTGTCCCCACCCCCCAGCCTGAAAATACTCCTGCTAATCATTACTTTGTCATCAGTGTTCTACAAAAGGAAGGAGGGAAGGAAGAAAACCAAGCACTTGAGATGTTTCATCCTGCCTTACTTTCCATGTATTACTAAGCTTAAAAAAGAAGAAGAAAGAAAGGATGTACTGCTATTTTAGAAGAAAACCCCCTAGAACTTGAAATAAAGTATTCTCCCTCAAGTTTTCAAGGCTCCGCACCTGTCTATCTAAAGAGACCAATTTGGAGTTTAAAGGGCAGAAAAAGAAGACCTGGAACAATTGTCTTCCTTTCACTCTCATTTCTCACTACCTGGAAAGAAAAGGCAAAAGGTAAGATCCTGGAGAGAAGGGGTGGGGGGCACTGTGGAGGAGGGGTGCAGGCCAAGACGGGAAGGAACACCCTCACTGCGCACTGCTCCACACCCCATCTCCTCCACACTTGGGTCGGCACGGGCCTGCCCCTCTCCTCCTCTAAACCCATAAGGAAGAATCAAAGAGCCTGTGTGACCAACAACAGTTCCGTGCCAGCCGCTGCCAGCCTCTGCACACATTAGGTGGAGCCACGTGAAGCCAATATCTGACGACTTCTGACCTATAAAACCGGTAATCTCATCTAGCCAACCAAAAGCTGCTTGGGTGAGCGCATAGAGACGTTCGAGTCTGTGTCCTCCCACCTAAAAGGTCCCTCGAATGTTCTGGAGGAGGGGGTTTTCTCGCATATCTGGTGGCTTCTTTTGCTTAGAGGTCTAAGCAAGTATGAGCACTTTGTAAGACACAATCAGGGGGCTGGTGAGATGGCCCAGTGGTCTAAAGCGCCTACTTAGAACAAGCTTGGCAAAGCACAGGGACCGCGGTTCGATCCCCCAGCACCACATGCCAGCCAGCCCTGCCCCCTGGTGGGCTGAGCTGGCCACACACACAAATAAACAAATAAATATTAAAAAAAAAAAGACACAATCAGATTATACAGAGTAATCAGATAAGGAAATTCGATGTGGGAAAGAAAAGACAGCTTTTTATTCAGCCATATACTTAGTGGCCATTGACGCGAGCAGAGGGGAACTGGCACGGGACATGCTTATGGGTTACTTCCACACACTTATCTGATGCCACATCCCTGATGCACAGCTGGGGGCCAGAGACTCTGAGAAGACATTTCCGAGCCGAGCCACGGCCAGGATAGCATGACAGCGGAACCATCTTGCGCCCTCTCTACAGAAAGTGACCCTTATGTTTACAGATAAACAAGCGTTGATTAAATGTAAGCTAAAGATTTCGGGAAACACTTCCTAAGTGAACTGCATGCCTCTTCGGCTTCCAGCGGAATCCCATTCGCGATGCTGCATCTGGTCATCTGCTCAAGAGGGAGCTGCACAATTTCTACAGTATAAATGTGCATTTTTCTCCTCTGTTACTGGTCAGCAAGCACTCTGTGCCCCCACAGGAGCCCAACGGCGCACTTGCAACCTTTTGGCCCCCACAGGGGTCCCCGCATTTTATTTAACACTATCATTCTTTCTTCACTAACTGGTATTCTTTGTCAAAAGGTTTTACTACCTACCCCCACCACAGTATCACTAGAGAGCCACTGATTTTAAAAAAACAACTTAATTATTGGCACATTTTCCATACCCAGAGGATCACACTCCCAGGGAGGGGATTTGTACCTGCACATGCCGCATTTGGATTCTTCTTTCCCCCATTCCTCTCCCCTCCCTTCAGCCTGTCTTCCTCTCCTTGTTTACAAAAGCTGTTTCTACTCTTTTCTTCCTATTCCTTCCTTCCCTTTTCCCTCCCTCCTCACCCACTCCCCTGTTCTCCTTCCCATTTGACCATTTTCTTCCTATTTCTCAATATCCATCATCCATCTTGGGCACCTCTGACCTTTTTCTAAAAATTCAGCATGGGGACTGGTGGGGTGCAGCTTGCCTGGCACGCATGAGGCCCTGGGCTTGAGATACGGGGAATCGAACTCAGGAACTTGGCGTTCGCTAGGCAGGTGCTTGTGTTGCTGAGCTATCTCACCAGCCAAATGGACACTGATAAGGACATTTACTATTATATTATTTGTTACAGGAGAGAGAGAGAGAGAGAGAGAGAGAGAGAGAGAGAGAGAGAGAGAGAGAGAGAGAGAGAGA